CGTCATTTTAGATCAGTTGTCTTTTGCCTTAAAAAAACAAAAAAACAGGGTAGCATACTAATCAGTGTATAAAGATTCAAAGTCATAATCAACTTATGCTGTTCTTTTGCCTTTAAAAAAAAAAGCACAGGGTAGCATACTAATCAGTGTATAACAGATTCAAAGTCATAATCAACTTATGCTGTCTACCTGATGCAGAGATAAGAACTGAAGCTGAGAAATTAATAACTGCTTTCCCCCATGATTTCAGTAAGGCATTCATAGACAAAATTGTCCAGTTTGAAGGTTTTGAAAATTCAGGTCATGTCTCACTCCATCTCCACAGGCAGTTTTACTCCATGATGAAGGACTCACTGATACCTTTCCAAGTGTTAATGTAGCTCTTAGAATACGTTAGAGCATGATAGTCACTAGTTGTTCAGGAGAGAGATAATTGAGCAAATTGCTCCTAATAAAGAATTGTCTGAGAACCATGATGACCCATGAAAGACTAAGTGCTCTGTGGCTACTGGATGTAGAAAGCAGTGTTCCAAAGAAGATACAGTTTGAGGAGTTCATTAAAGATTTCTCAGATGCCAAGTGTATAAAGAAAGACTTTTTGTAGATATTCCAGTGTGATACATATAGCTGTAAATTAGCAAAACTTACTTTACTTAGCTTAGATAAACTTAAAACGTTTGTATTGATAGGGTCAGCATTTAATTTGGTTGTGTAAATTGTTGAGTTAGCCGTTGTTACCTATGGAAACTAAAGAGTACATAGCAGGAGAGCTATTGTAAATTGTCTCACTTAAAAATCTACTTGGAGTTTTACTGGCATGTATTTAAACGTACATGTATTTACTTCAGATATATAATTCATTTAACCTTTCCATGTATGTATAAGATCCAATGGAGTACCATAAATGGACTTTGATATGTAAATTTGGTGATTTTCCATGTATTTTAATTCCTGTGTATGAGGGACCCCCTGAATCTGAAGTGCCCTGGGCCCTCCAAGGTCTAAATCTGGCCCTGTTTACTTACAAACTGTGCTGATTTCTGTGGAGTGCTGCGTTCAGTACTTCTACTTTAAAATATATAGGAAAACCAGATCTCTGCATGCCTTTTAATACTACCTCAATACACAGTTATTCTTGTTGTTGCACATAATGTCACACACATGTTATTTTGAACTTTTTTTCGTCCACAGCAGTTCAGGTTATGTTTTGTTTATAATGTATTACTATATATTAATTCTGAAGCAAAGGGCAAACTGTATGTTGCACAGTATCAATTTGGAAGCTTCTTAATCCACTTTAACATGGCATTTTTAGAGATCCAGCTTTATTTACTTATAAAAATAATTACATAAGATATATGAAAATGTTTTTATAAAAATAGTTAGATAACATAACATAACAATTTTAACATATATCAGAGGCTGCACTCCTGTAACACAACAGAGGTACCATCACAAAGACAGCATTTTATATTTAGCTTTTTAATATAAGCAGTTTTGATTAAATGGATAGAGATTTTTCTGATAATGGTTTAATTGGTATGTATGTATTTACTGTTCTCAGATTCGTCGGTCGACCTGGACATTATATGTATGTGTTTGCTGGTTACCGTATGGAAGAGGTTAGTGCCCAAATTTGACCATTTTAAGAAACACCTGCAATCAGTACTTCATATTCTATTCTGTTCTCTAAAACTACATGTTGCTTTCCAGTTCCCATTATCTGCAAGTAAAATACACTATATTAAAGGGATTTACTAGAATTTAAGATCATTACATGTAACTGATAGAGGCTCGTAACATTGGATAGAGGCTCGTAACATTGTCCAGGAGTTATGGCAGTGTTATCTTGGCACTGTAAATTTGATCAGATGGATTTTGTTCAGATCAGCAAAGCAACCAATCAAACAAACAAACATCCCCCCCAAACATGTCTTCTTTTTCCCCACATTTCTGGATATAATGTGGAATGTTTGGGTGAAAGTCTTTGAGTTGAACTCCCATTATCTCCACTGGCCATGCTGTCTGGGGGATGCCTGGGCTTATAGCAGCCCTTAATTTGCCTACCCATCCATTAGTGTGATTTCAAGTTCTAGACCTCCTTTCTGATATTTTCAGGCTGCAAATATACCCCTAATAATAATTGCTACACAGGCTGGCTCTTCTCCCTGGAAGCACAGTGGAGAATTGAGATGCCAATCTCTGGCTCTGCAGCCAAATACTGAAATCACCGATCTATCCAGCCATCTATCCCCTATCATCTGCTAAATACTATTGCCTCCAGAAGCAGTGAGAATTGCATGGATGTTAGACCTGTATTCGCCTGCTGGTATCAATTCCTCACATTCAGTTCTCATTCCCCTTCAACTCTAGTGTGCTCCAGGAGGCTGCCTAATGGAACTCTGCATTCAACTGAGCATTATAATGCTGGGGAAACAGCTGATCCAGAACAATATCTTTGAAATTGGAATCCCGTACGTATTCAATTTATAATCACACTCTTGTATTTATCATAAATTGGGCACGGATTTTTATTTGTGGATTGCTGTGGTAATATGGGAGTTGGATGGAAGCAAATGAGAAATGAGTAAATTTAAATGCGATATGGTTCTGGGATTTTATTTTTCATAATGAATTGGTCCCCTGTGGGTAAACTGATTTGTGCAAATTGTTTGATTGTGTTAAAGAAAGAGCAGTGAAACAAGTTTAGGAAACTCAGTAAAAAGACATTGGGGGAATCTCATAGTATAACTCCATTGGTCTCTGCTGCTTTCACAATAAATGGTTCCACCCTCCTTCCTGCAGTCACCTTACACTCTAGAAACTCTCAGATAGACACATACAAAAGTACACTATTTGATTTTGGTGACAGAACCTGTTGCCAGGTTACAAGAAAATATTTGAGGACAGTGGGGGAATCAGATCTTTAAGTGTGTTCTCATGGATAGAATGGCCACAGGCCTGGCATTCTGAATTTTGCCAAATCTTCTCCACAACTTGGCAAGAAGTGAGAAGTTGGTTCCTCTCTTCTCTGACAATGCCCCAGTTACACAGTTGTTGCACTGTAGATGACATAAATAGACAGGCAGGCTATCAACACAGAAACTGCTGTTATTGTCATGGTTCCTTGCATCATCAATATTATAGCTCTGTTACACACAGTAGAATATTGTGTACAATAACTAAGCTACCTATGTGTTAAATGTAGTGCTGACTTGCTGTTAGGTTGAAATGAGATCCATATATTGGAATTTGAAAGCAAGTAGGCACGAAATATTGCATGGTTAGTGGGAAAGAAACTACAACTACAAAACTTACTACTGTGTCCGGCTACCTACAGAATATATTTAGTGAAGCTGAAAAAGTAATGATCATTCTTCCTTTCCTTCAATTAATTAATTCGGTGACATCCAGTTAATTCTGACTGGATAGAGGGATCATATAAATGAAATGGAAAGGACAGAAGCAGTTATGACTAAAACAAAACAAAACTGAGAGGTCAACCTCAGAATGATAATGGAAGCATTCATTTGTTCATTAATTTAATTTGATTTGATTTGATTTGATTTTTATACTTCCCATCTGGGTGGTTTACAACAAAACATACGATAGCATAATTAAAATATCAATTCAATAAATCAAAAAATAGAAATAATGAAATACAAATAAATAGTGCAATCAAATCGCATTCACATACGTTTACATAAATACTTGATACTTAGGGCTTGTCTACAGGAGAACATTTGGACTGGGCTGGTATAGACTAAATAGCATCATGGCCTTGGGTAGAGGTCTGGTATGCACTGATGTACCTCATAACCTTAATTTTTTTAAAAAATTAAAACTTCCTCCTAGAAGCAGTTGGAGACAGGACGGGACAATGAGGGGAACTTTTTCTTTTGTGACTTTTCTTAAAGGTTGGTTGGGTCAAGATACTGCCTGCAGCCAAATCCACTGCTGGTCAGTACTAATTAATGGATTCTGCTATGGGGAGTTTCTTGAAACCAATCTTTAAGAATAGTCACAAAAGGAAAAGGAAAAAAATACCCTTTGTTGCCCTCTCCTGTCTTGTATCACTTTCGGGAGGAAGATTTCAGTTTTTAACATTGTTTATAAGTGAATTGATACAGTGTAAAAATGTTTTTACTTCTTCTGCCTCTCAACAGAGCAGAGGAAGTGTTTAATTTGTCAGCATTGTGAAGTAGCTCTCTTCTTAAGGCACTTCATGATATAGGAAATTGATAGCAGAAGGTAATTTGACAACTCAATTTGTATTTATTATTATTTATTTAGTTTAAATATTTTGTCTCATCTTTCTCCTTAAAAAGAACCCAGGGCAGCTGGACAGCTCAATTTGTATTTATTAGTATTTATTTAGTTTAAATATTTTGTCTCGTCTTTCTCCTTAAAAAGAACCCAGCTTTCATCATTAAAAAGACAATATTTAAAGTTAAAAACAGTAGGTATACAAATATGTAAAAAGAATTAAACAAGTATTAAATTAAAAACCGTAATAAAATCAATACTAAAACACATTTAAACAACAGAGCACAACAATCCATTAAAACCCCCTCTCAGACCACTAGTTATTAAGGGAAAGCTTGCCTGAAAAGGTTTTTGCCTGCTTGCAGAAGGGAGTAGAACAGTCCATTAAAAACCCCTCCCAGACCACTAGTTATTAAGGGAAAGCTTTCCTGAAAAGGTTTTTGCCTGCTTGCAGAAGGACAGCAATAATGGGGCCAGCCTAACTTCCCATGGGAGGGAGTTCCAGAGTCTGGGAGCAGCAACAGAGGAGGACATCTCCTGCATCCCCACCAGTACAATAGTGAGAGTGGCAGAACCAAGAGAAAGGACCCAAGCCTTTAAGAGCTTTATAGGTTTAAACCAGCACTTTGAATTGTGCCCATAAATGGAATGGCAGTCAGTAGAGCTGCTGTAACAGGGGCTCAGAGATGAATCCAGAAGCACCTCCAAGCTGCACACCTGTGTTTTCACAGGGAGTGTAACCTCATCCAGCATAGGCTGCAACCCTATTCTTTGATTTGCTTTTCGACTGACCAGGAGCACCTCTATCTTGTCCGGATTAAGTTTCAGTTTATTTGCCTTCCAATGTGCTCTAGACCAGTGGTCCCCAACCAACAGGGGCTCAGAGATGAATCCAGAAGCACCTCCAAGCTGCACACCTGTGTTTTCACAGGGAGTGTAACCTCATCCAGCATAGGCTGCAACCCTATTCTTTGATTTGCTTTTCGACTGACCAGGAGCACCTCTATCTTGTCCGGATTAAGTTTCAGTTTATTTGCCTTCCAATGTGCTCTAGACCAGTGGTCCCCAACCTTAAGCCTCCTTTTCAGTTTATTTGCCTTCCAATGCGCTCTAGACCAGTGGTCCCCAAACTTAAGCCTCCAGATGTTCTTGGACTTCAACTCCCAGCTATCCTGGCCAGCAGAGGTGGTGGTGAAGGCTTCTGGGAGTTGTAGTCTAAGAACATCTGGAGGCCCAAGGTTGGAGACCACTGCTCTAGACCATATTCGGTCAGATTCACTTCAAGTTTTCCACCATTGTCACTCTAGTCTCTGTCTCATCATCACCAGCTCACCAGCTCCATGACAATGAAACAACAGAGAGCTCTTCCTTACCCAGAACACCAACATCTATCCCAGTTTAAAAAAAAAAACAGGTCTAAGGTATCCCCTGCAGCATGAGTGCGGGCAGAAACCATTTGAAACAGACCCATGATTGTTATGAATGACATGAAGACCCGAGCCACTTCTGACAAAGCTGCCTTGGCATGGATGTTGACTTCCCCCAGCACAACAAACTGTGGAGACTCCATCACCACCCCTGAGACCAGCTCAGTGAGCTCAGGCAGGGAGACTGTTGAGCAGTGAAGTGGGCAGTACACCAATAGAATCCCTTTTCTGTCCCAGGCTCCCACTTTCAAATACACACATTCAAACCCAGCAAACTGGGGGATGTGGCACCTAGTGAGGGGGACAGAATCATGACTGACCACTGCAACTCCACTTCCCTGTGGAAGTGCTTGTTGCTGCACAGAGAACCCTGGTGGATAAAGCTGGGTGAGATTGACACCCCCATCCTCATCCCACCAAGTCTCTGTTGTACAAGCCAGATTGGCCTGCTCATCTAGGATCAAGTATCGGATGGCTGTTATTTTTCAAATTACTGGTTTGGCATTTAGCAGCAGCAGATTCAATCCAGGGACCTGTCACCATGGCTATCCAAGCTATCTAAGTTTGGGGACAGATTAGGGGCAATGGATATAATTTCCACTTCCCTGTGGAAGTGCTTGCTGCTTCACAGAGAACCCTGGTGGACAAAGCTGGGTGAGATTGACACCCCCATCCTCATCCCACCAAGTCTCTGTTGTACAAGCCAGATTGGCCTGCTCATCTAGGATGAAGTATCGGATGGCTGTTATTTTTCAAATTACTGGTTTGGCATTTAGCAGCAGCAGTTTCAACCCAGGGACCTGTCACCATGGCTATCCAAGCTATCTAAGTTTGGGGACAGATTAGGGGCAGCCAATATAATTTCTCCTACTTTCCTTCACATGGTACTGTGAGTGTTGTCCCCCATCAAATGTCCCCCTGCCCTGAACAACTCCAATAGCTTTGGTTTGTTTCCAGCAACTGCACCAGAAACAAACCAAAATGGTTTGGAGTGATACTACCCACCTCAAAAATGTAGAAGCTCCTGATAGGACTCAAAAAGCTGCATTCGGAACACTCTGGGGACAGGCTGGTTTACTCTTGCAATTATGTCATGTCATTGCCAGAAAAAGGAGCAAACCAGGCCACCTCCATGGTGGTCTAAACAGTGGACTAAATGTCCATAAAATTGCCCACTCAATCTAAAAAAAGAAAATATAATTTCAATGTATTCATGAAGGCTTTCATGGCCGGGATATAACAGTTGTTGTGGGTTTTTCGGGCTTTTTGGTCATGTTCTGAAGGTTATTCTTCCTGACGTTTCGCCAGTCTCTGTGGCTGGCATCAGTGTCAGGAAGAACAACCTTCAGAACACAGCCAAAAAGCCCGAAAACCCCACAACAACCAAAATATAATTTCGCTTAGCATCTTGTTGGGACAGAAGAATGGATAGAATATCTTGATGAAGGCATACTTGTTGAATCACTTCTCCTTTTCCATTCTTAACAAAACTAAGAACATTAAGTTCAGCTTTCCACACCCTCTGTTTTAAACTTTTCATGACGTTTCACTGATAAGTGTTTGATTAAAAATACCTGCCATTACTCCTTCTTTCGTCTAGGCTTAAAAGAGGAACCTTTCTTTATACAGGAAGCTAACTGATAGATGTGTCACTTCTTCATAATCTTCTTTGTTTAGCATGCATACTTCACGTTCAAGGGATTTATTGCAGGCTGCAGGGGAAAAGTTTTCTGGCAGCTCTTTGTTAAACTCTTGGCAGCGCAGGATTAACCTGGATTTTTACCCATCCACACAAATATGTTGTATACTCCCTCTTTCTTTCTCCCCACTCCCTGTATTTCTTTAGCATACCTTTTCATATCAGACAAAATGAGGGATCAAGCCCATTAAAGCTCATTTTAAAATACTGCATAACACTTCATCTGTAAGATGCTATAATATTTGTGTCTTTTTGCTTGTTTGTTTTTGTCTGATATGACAAAGACACGTCTTTGAAAACTACACTTTTTCATTTATTTCTTAATGTTTGTGGGCTCAATTACTAGATATTACTTACGTATATACTTATACTCCTTAGCTTCTTTTATAACATTGACACTATTTATTTCAGCCAATGACTTAAATAAACCCTTCAATTCAAATAAACCCTTCAATTCTCTGGGAGAAATTTTTGCCACAGTCCAGACACAGTATTTAGTAGAATGAAATGAAAATAATAGAAACATTTAGTGGAGGGAATATCTCCTTATAAATAATGCAGTTAAATGTCCAAATATGTTTTTTGGTTTAAAAGAAGGGCAACAATATTATGTGGAGAATTCCAAATAAAATGAATGAATAAAGTTAATATAACCAGTTGAATTGCCTGCTTTAATAGAATCTGGAGTTTCAGACTACAGTGGTGCCTCTCATAGCGACGATAATCGGTGCAGCAAAAATCTCTGCAAAGCTATTTCGTCGCTATGCGATATTAAAAAGCCCCTAGGAATGCATTGAAACCCCTTCAATGCATTCCTATGGGCTTCAGACTCACCTTTAAACGAACATCCTCCATACGGTGGCCATTTTCGCTGCCTGGTAAGCGAGGAATCCATCCCAGAAAACAGCGGGCGGCCATTTTTTTACCCGGTGGCCATTTTGGAACCGCCGATCAGCTGTTAAAAAATCATCGCTTTGAATGATCGGTAAGCGAAACAGGGTACCGATCATTGCAAAGTGATTTTCCCCCATTTAAAACATCGCAATGCAGTCGCAAAAGGGATTGCAAAAAGTTAATCGCTATGCGATTTCGTCATTAAACGGGGCGCCCGTTAAGCAGGGCACCACTGTATATGAGTTGGAGGATGATCTGAGAATCAGACTCCCCAAGAATGCAAAGTATATTTAATCTTGTTATCCATCCTGACAATGCATATTTTTCAGTGCTCCACACCTGGCATCAGACATGCAAACATAGCTATCTCCCAAATGACCAATTTAAAAAACAAAGTTGGTTAATCTATCTGATGCCTATTAAGGCAAGCTTATGTTGGAATAATGGTGGACTGCATGTAGGTCTGGAATCAGCATTTCCTCTCCTGAGACCTTGGGCAGAAGATTTTTGTATCCAATCAGGCACCATGAGGAATGATCTATGTTTATGATAATCTTATTGGACTCCTGTAAAATTTAGTTGCAAGTAGAATCTCTCTGATATACTGTAGTCCCTTTGCAGAGACTGGCTATTACCTTGTGTAGTGAGATTCTCTCTATTCCTGTTGCCATCGATCTACCTAGAAATTTAGAAAATCACTCAATGCTGGGACCCACCTTCTTAATCACTTTATAGGTACATCTCAAGACCTAGCCAATTTGATCCAGATGGTTACAGTTATGTAAAAAAGCTTAAGTTTAGGATGTGTTCCAGAAAATGAAAGAAAAAAATGATCTATTTAGACTGCCAGTCACAAATATCCTGAAATTACAGTCTGGACAACAGGGAAATGGAGTGGAAGGACTGCAGATATATACCGTATTTTTTCGCTCCATAAGACACACTTTTCCATAAGACGCACCAATTTTTTAGGAGAAGAAAACAGGAAAATATAATCTGTTTTCTTCGCTCCATAAGACGCACAGACTTTGCACCCCCCTGTTTTGTGGGGAAAAAGTGTGTCTTTTGGTGCGAAAAATACGGTAAGTCCCTGGATTTTCTGGGGGGAAGGACCTTTTGGCACCTGTCAAAATCAGTGGTATAAATATGTCCTGTGGTGGTTAATTCTGTAAGAATAACAATTCTTTTTTTATGGCATTTTAAAAGTTATAATTGCCTACTCTTCTAATTTCCCAGTAAATTAAAAAAGCTGTTCCGTAAGCTGAAGGATGAGAGGCCAGAGAAAAAGGAAAGCGATTCTAACCCTTCTAAGCAACCTCAGCAGTGGGAACTCGATTATGTCCTGGAGCCATTCACTGGACTGACTCCTGAATACATGGAAATGAGTAAGGTCTTTGAACATCCTTTTCATCTGCTTGTATCAAACTTGTCTGAAAAGTAATTCTACCCCTTTGGCAAAATATATTAGCCTCAGCCTTGTTCTTCACAATCACAGCATGAATGTTGGCTATCCTAAAATTACTGCTGACGATCAGTATACTTTTGGAATGACCTATGGATACCAAAGATTAAAGGGCTATGTGATTTGTTTTGTTTCAGGAAACTTGTATTTCATGTATTTTGTGATGTTAACACTGAAGCAAAATGACAAAACTGAAATTACAAGTCAAATTTATTTAATCACTAGTTAAACAGAATAAATGTCCAGTTGATTAAGACATATATGGATCAGTTTTTATCAGTGAGAGCAAACATTAGTTCATGTGGAGAATTGATGAGATGTCCAGAGACTGCCAACTAAGATTAAGAGTCTGTCTTGTCCGCCTATGGTCAAGTGATAAAGTTGCTCGCAAGCATAAGCATAAAGAAACAATCTAACTGTAGTGTTATGTCTCTATACACATAGGCCTCTGTTTAGTATTCCTGGCAAATCCTATTCTCTGTTGATTTTTCTAACCTTAAAAAAACTAAGTTTATTCCACAAGTTAATTGTATTTTCTTTGAAGCTGTACTTCCTTTTTTCTTTTCTGACTATCATGTGAGTTAATTGGATTCTAGCACCTCACTTCATTGAATGTGTTTTGATGTTGCTCACATTTTTTGGTATTGTATTCATTGATCCTTTTAGTATTGTATATTAGAGGTGGGCACAAATGAGAAAAAAGGTGATTCATTTCAATTTGTGATTCATCAAAGGCGGGCACAAAGGAGAAAAAAAGGCGATTCATTTCAATTTGTGATTCATCAAAATGACAAATCATGAACAACAAATTTATGAATTTTTCTGATGAAACAATGACTTGATTTGTCAGTTTATTTTTGCCTTTAAAACCCTAGAGGCAACAAAATTGCAGAGAAGCTTCCTCTGAGACTCTTCTACTACCCCTCCATGTTTTGTAAAGATTGAGTTTCAGCCATCTGAGTTATACACCTACAAAGTGGGTCCCCCCAGGAAAGTTTTCTTTAACAGTGGGCTTGGGTGAAAACCCAATCTTCACTCAATGTGGTGGGATTGTAGAGGAGAGTCAGGGGAAGCTTCTCTGTGATTTTGGTGTCTCTAGGTGCCTGGGGGAACTTTCCTGGGGGGGAAGCTCTTTGTGGATGTATAACTTGGAAATCCAAAACCCAAACTTCACAAAACTTAGAGAGATTGTAAAGTAGAGTCAGGAGAAGCTTCCTTGCAATTTTGCTGTCTCTAGGTGGCGGGGGGGGGCAGTTAATAGCCCAATGAATCAACCAATCAAAAATCACTAAAATTAACTGGTTCATGTTCATTAGGGGTCAGACAAATATGAACAGACAAATTAGCAATTTTTGATGAATTTTGAAATTCATTTTTGAATCCATGCCCATCTCTATTGTGCACGTATTCTTACTATCTTAAATACTGTCTTTTAATTGTTGTAAGCCACCTTAGATCATTTTAAAGGAAAAAGGCAGGTTTAAATAAATAAATATTCTAAATTTATATTTCCATTCATCCAGTTCTACAAAGAAGAAAGTCTTACTTTTCTACTCACTTATTGTGCAATTTTTTAAAAACATATATGGTTTCCTTCCTTAGTCTTTTCATAATTTGAAACATGTCCCTCCCTCTTTTCCTGACAAGGTGGAGAATTCTGTTTTAGAAAAAAATGGTTACAGACTCTAAATTTGATTTTGGACCACGGATGTTTCCATATAACAAGATATTAAAATGAGAGTTCTAGAATTCTAATATAGAAATTGACGTTTTATAATTAGCTTGCAAGGGACTAGAATTGAGGGAGCATGGGATTGTTCTTCCTATAGGAGTTTTGTAGACAGGGAAATTTCAGTGATTGCATCTCTGAAGCTGGGCATATCTAGTACTGTTTGTCATATGCTTGAAAAATGTGTGTATGCTGAATGCCCTTTTCTACATTAATTTTACGAGTTAGACTAATTCCCATAGACATCTTGAATAAGAGAATCTGATTACCTTTACTAATAATCCATGTCCCTGTAGTTTCTTCATGCTGCCCAATATGTTGAGTCCTGTCTGTGGAATGTGAGAAGACAGGAAAGTAGAGTAAAATGAAACTCACTCCTCTCCTAACCTGCCTGTTGTGCTGTTTGTATCCCTAAATTTAGCTGTCAGATGCACTGCTGAATGACACAGACCACCCACATGGACAGGAAGCCCTTTGAGATGCTCAGCACTGAAGCTGTCAGTTGGGATTGTTCTGAAAGGGCAGTAGGCAGAAATGAAGATGAAAGGAGCTCCTCGATGGAGCATGTTTACATACTTTCAGAACTGGGCAAAGGAACATGGCTTGCAGAAAGGAGGGTCCTAAATTCAGAAAGGAGATTTTTAACTCCAAGAAAAAAAATTTCAGCTGAGTGAAGCAAAGATGAAAAGGAAAATTCTAATGCAGTCACATCCTCAAAGCCCATTAAATTGAATGTTGTGTTGAAGGCAGTCCAATGGAGTGAGTCCATTGCATTTTAGGAACTGTGTGTTGAAGGCAGTGCAGCTTTTTGTGCTGGTCCATCTTTAACTCAATATATTCTTGAAGGGAATATGGAGTGAGTCCATTGCATTTTAGGAACTCTGAAATTGCAATATGAACCTCTATATAGAATCATAGACTTGGAAGGAAGGGAACTCAAATGCCACCAAGTAAAGCTCTGTGTTATACAGAAAATCTGCTGTTTTACCACCCCTAGTACATTTCTTCTAAGTAAGAAGATTACATAACTTTACAAAGCACTTTGCTTATCTGTGAAAGACCTCATACTGTCAGGGTTTTGCTAATGTTCACTTCACATTCCCTTTGTTATAATTGGAACATTTTGATTCAGGCCCTATCCTCTATAGCAGGTGTCTCCAAACTTTTCACCATGAGGGCTACACCATATATTCTGCACATTTCCGAGGGCTGAAGGAACACGCGTGCATGTCCACCTTGGGCAGATCTCCCAAAATAGACTCCTCCTCAGCCCAGTAAGGCAAAGGATCAATCTCTTTGGGTTTACAGGGCTGCTGCATGTATGCCTCTGCCATGTCCTTCCTCTGTGGTGGGGTCTCTGTATGTCAAGTCCCTGACATGTGTCAGGTTTCTCAGCGGAAAACATGGATTATCAGCAGAGTATATGGCGGTTCAGGCAGTCCAGTAATAATTCACATGCAGTCTGGCAGCATTTCTTTCAGCATAGTGTATTCAATAAATTCAATAAATAAAATATTTACATCAATATATACAGCAGTCTGGCAGCATGGCAGGCAGATGTGAAGATATAACTAACTGTACAGCTCTACATATATACATACACACAACCAATCAGGTTTCACATTACCTCATTGCATTACATCATCCCATTACTTCATCTCTGGGTTGCATCAGTCTGGGTTACATCATCTCTGCTGAGTCACCCTGACTCAGTTTCAGCACACCTGACAGTTATGGCTTCTCATTATATCACTTCATTCTGGTCAGGCCTACAATTTTCCTTGACAACATGCTTGTCAAGATAGTGTCACAGAAAGCTTGCCCTGCTGTTACAGGTGAGGGACTTCTTTTCTTTTTCCTACAGGAATTGTATTTTTGCATTCTTCACGAATAACATATCTGGTTTCAATTCACAATTCTTCATGGTCAATTGAATTTAGTAATGCAAATATTTTCCTTATGTGGACTTTAAATTCATCAAGAATATTGTTTAATTTATACTTTGGCACTGCAATTATTTTAGTATTCTTCTTCAGCTTTACTCTAATATTTAATATTAACAGTTCATTATCAGTGCCACAATCCATTCCTGATCTTATTCTGACAGAGAGAATACAGCTTCTCCATCTGACACTTCCAATTGCATAGTCTATTTTATTTCTATATTGACCTTCTAGTGATGTTGACATATACAAGTGCTATTCAAGTTATCACCTGATATTTATGCTATTAAGAAATAATTTGAAAGGCATATACCTCTACCAGCACTCCCAAGCCAACTACACCAGAGTACAGGTTGCTGTCCTCTGAAGATGCCGGCCACAGAGACTGGTGAAACGTCAGGAAGAACAACCTTCAGAACACGGCCAAAGAGCCCGAAAAACCCAGAACACCCACTCTACCAGTACCCTTACATGTTGAACATTTCCTGTGTGTTAATGTTGTGCTTGCTTGCTACTTATGTACTAACTTTTCTACATTGACTTACATTTTGCAATAATTCTCAGAACCAACCAGAGCTTGGGAAAATTAATTTTTTATACTACAACTCCCAAAATTCCACAGCAGGCATGACCACTGGCCATGCTGGATGTGGGACTCTATAATTCAAAATTATTGATCTTCCAGATTCTGATCTCAGTCATTGTCCTGCCCTCATCTTCCATTCTCTTCCTTACATACCTAACCGATATTCAGTACAATACTGCCTGTAACTAGATGTATTCACTATGGTAACTGCGTTAAATCTCAAATACATCAGAATTGAAGAGATTTTGCCTTGGGACATAAGCACTTTGTGAAATAAGAACTTTGGAGAGCACAGTAGCATTTACTGGCTGAAACCCTGTTGCTTTGTTAATGAGGGTGAAGGAAAATGGCATAGCATTCACTCACTTCTAGCTGACGATTCCTTGCTGCAGTTCTACGGCATATCAAACCAGTATGCATGTGTACCCCTGAGAATTGCAGTGGTGACTTGATAATTGCCAGGTGGAAAATGTGACTGTTACGCCACGTGGCTTCCTCCTTCATAACAAGGCAACAGGATTTCTGCCAGTGGGTAGTTTTCATTGTATCTTAAATCTTTGTACGTTTTTCATTGTATCCGAAATCTAAAAACAACAAATGTAAGTTAATTGCAACCAAGAATTCATGCATCATTATCCTTGTGTGCATCAGACAATCTCTGTTCAGTAATCACAATGCCACAAAAATAATTGTTTTCTTCAATAAATTGAGGGATTCCTTGCAAATGAAAAATCAATTAAGCATCATCAGAAATAACAGCATATGTTGTGATTAGCTTAAGACTTTGTGAGATTTGAGAAATTATCCTTTGGCTATGAACCTAGACCTTGTTTATATCTGTCATCATGGGAACACCATTCTCAAGAGACTGCGCAGGGCAAATGTTGAGGCATACTGCCAACTAATCGCATGTTTACAGCATACTTGCCAAGCAGCAGCAGTAGCAGCTGCCAGAGTGGGTGGTTGTTTCCTCTGCAGAAATGCAAACAATAAAATTTAAACGCCAAATTTTAAAACAGTGAACCAAAATACTAGCCCTACTGCACGTGCAAAATCTTTGATTTCATATGCTAGGCTGCCCTGGGATTTATTCAAAGGGTGGGATAAATATGTTGCCATAAAGGCGCAAAGGGCAAGGCATATTCTTCTTGTAAGTGGTTCCTCTCTCCTTCACCCAAATGTTATTTGTAAAATAATTAGATTGAAAAAAAAATCGCTCTCCCATGTCTCTTCTTCCCTTGTCCTCTCCAGCATGGCCTGAAACAAACTAAGGGTACAGGTAGAATCTTTGCTGGAAAGATTCTGAAATACCAACAGAACAGAAAATTATTTTTTTTCCCCCTGCTGTAAGCAACGAGAAGGCTAGTATCAACATAAACAGAAGTAGAATTAGGTTCAGGGTCTCTAAGACTTCTGGGATTAATTTTAGAAATTTTGAAGAATTTCCCTGAAGGCAGGAGAATCCGATCAAAACCTCCTGACTCTCAGGTATCAACAAAAGAAGCCCTGCTAAAAGGACAGGCACATTCTTTTCTAATCTCCATGCTATAGCAGGATTTGAAAGCGTAACTTAGGGGTGTTCTGTGCAGACATGTTGGATGTATTCGCACTGAAAATTACCTGAGAAATCACTGCTGCTGACCTGTGAGGGGTTTTGGGATGTGTTTTTTTGTTTGTTTGTTTGTTTTGGGGGGAGGTTGCCCACAAAAGTCAGTGTTTTAACGGGCATGGCAACAAGTGGGTTGATGCAGTAGGAGAAAGTCCAACATATTTGTAAATTTAGCAAGCCAACAGTGGGCCCCTAGCCTGTGGGCCCCCAGTTGTTGGACTTCAGCTCCCAGAATCCCTCACCATTTGTCATGATAGGTGGGGCTTTTGGAAAATGAAGTCCAACAAAAGTTGTGAAGCCAAGACTGAAAACCACTGCTCTAGGTGATACAGGGCTATAAATGTCAAAAACAGATACTAGCAATATTCAGGGAACCAATGCAGTTTCAATTTGATCACTTTGTTTCTGTCGGTAGACTAGATGTGGTGTTCCCCGTTTGAAATATGACAATAAAGAGGAGCAGCTCCAGACATGCTTGGAGGAGGGGAATTGCCTTGACCCATTCCAGGCCAGATTCAGGTTGTGACATGTATCAGTCATACTTCAGGATGACCTTTTAAGGGAGATTGATGGGAGAAGAATGACTCTGTTAGTACCTCTTGGATCTCTCGGCAGCTTTTGATACTGTCAACCATGGAATCCTCCTGGACATGCTATGGGGTCAAGGGACTGGCACTCAGCTAGCTCTGATCCTTTCTTGATAGTCATGTCCAACTCAAAACTTAATGCAAGGGTGATTGTTATTCAGACAGTGATACACTTCAGTAGAGGAAGTATGTTGAACACTGCAGTAGTATTAAACACTTCCAAATAATCTAGGAAAATCGACAGAGTAACACTCTTCAATAAGAAGGGGTTGTAAACCAAATTACGGTGCATGGGATTGAAACAGTGTGCAGCAACTGTTATGAAAATTCTATTTTACATGTAGAGTGACTACATCTCCATGCCATATCCTCAATTCAATAAAGCAATTAAAACCATGACAGTGGGATAGAATCCAGACTGGAAAGGATATAGTGTTTTATGGGATAGAATCCAGACTGGAAAGGATATAGTGTTTTATATGTTACCATATAGCCAGATCTGTCCGTAATTCCCATTCTTCACAGGCAGGGTGGTTGAGGGCCTTCCCTGGAGGGAAAGAACTAGAAACCAGGCCCTCTCGGTGGTTGCCCCCCACCTATGGAACCACATGCCTATTGAGATCCACCTGGCACCCTAAGGTAGATGGGTTCAAAAGAGCACTGAAGGCCTGGCTCTTCCACCAGGCTTTCCTGGAGCACTAGGATCTCTGCCTCCCTTTCTACCATTCTTTTTGCCATCCTCTCCATCA